GGCCGCTGGTGCGCGGTGTGGGCCGGGGGGCTCCGGCAGGGACCCTGCAAGCCCTCGCCCAGGCCGCATCCCGTGAAGCCACCCCTTCGTGCAGTGGGGCGGTGTGGGGAGGCTCCGGGTACTGCCGGGAGCGGTGCTGTGGGAAAAGCCTTTCCTGGAGAAACCGTGACACTCGCACTGAAAAATTGCCTTCAGCCAGGTGCTACGGCTGCACCGGGGATCGGGCAAAGCAGTCTCTCGGTTTTCCCGGTTCCCCTTGTCTCAAAGCTAAGCTGAAGCCCGCCTCTGGAGGGGACTCGCAGCCCTGCATGAGGCAGTGGAGGTCTGTGTGTGGTGTGAGGGAAAGGGACTGGGTGCTAAGTGCCTAGAGGTAGGGCACCCACAGGGATACCTGAAAGCGATTGGGCCTCTGAAACTCTGGCGTTGGTTGTCTTCATGGGACAAAAGATGTCCCCGAGGTGGCTCTCCTCTGCCTGCTGCAGAGCCTCGATCTTTGCTTCGTTGTAGTGGTGCTTACATGCCACAGCCCTAAAACAGTCGCCTTTCACAGTCCTGCTTCCTTCTACCTGCAAACAGAAGGCACGCTCGAATAGCCGAGGCTTTAATCGGGCATCGGGTGAAGAGAATGGGGGCTGCAGGAAAGCATTTCCCTTTGCTGAGACTCACAGCCTGGCCTCTCTTCTGAGAGCAGCTGCCTATGTACAGCCTATTTCAGCACTTTCAAGGAATTAATTATTTTCTCTTGTATGTGGCCCCTGGAGGAAGAGGCCCAAGCACCCCCCTCCCCCTGTCATTCCGTGTCTCCAGTGATCAGAGCACTTGCTTAGGAGCTGGAGATGTGGCTCCTGGTGCTTTTCCCAGAACTTTGTGTTTTGTCCTCTGACAAATGTTTGACATAAAGTACATAGAGCAGACTTGGAAAAGGGGACTGAAATCCAAGGCTGTTCCCCTCCCTTCCCCATGGCAATGTTGTTATTGCTAGGTCATGGCCTCACCTCGATTGCTCCCATGAATCCTGACTCCCCACCCTCTCCCCCAGGCAGCTGTACGGGTTCAACAAGCTGGTTGAAAATGGAATGCGTGTTAGGCTAGCCTATCTCCCCAGTAAGATACTCTTCAGGAAGGTCAGTGGGAGGCATCTGAACTCCATCGGGCAGAAGTGGGGAGATGGTGACCTTGGGTCTCCCGGTGTGGGAGGGACTGCAAGGCACATAGGGGGAAGGAAATACCCCCTGGGGAGTTGAGAAAGGGTTCAAAGGACCTGGTGAAGTGTTAAGCAAAAGCAGTCAGCGGCTGAGCACATGGCGGGGAAGTTGATGATAAGCATTTGCAGCTGGTTTTCTCTCTCTCCCACCCTGGAGGAACTGGGCGGCTGCTGACTCAGGAGCTGCATCAAGTTGGAGGAATGGGAAGGGGGTCACATTTCCTGCGTGCCTGAGACACGTTGCAGCGAGCCATGGGACAGCGATGGGCACCTCCTGCCTGCTGTCCTGTCTTGGAAGAGCGATCACAGCACCATGCCGTAAGGAGCTGGAGCCTGCTGGTATGCGTTGGATGTGCTCCGAGCAGGCTGCGCAGCTGGGGCTGTGGGTCTCGTCTTGCATGGAGACGTGTCTGAGCTCCGAATTCCAGTGCTGGGCTCAGGGGGAAGAGAGGAGTGGAGCTGCCCAATGTGGGGTGGTTCTGGGTATGTGAAAAGCAGAATGTCCTGTGTCTTGGGATGCTGACAGCATAAAAATAGGACTCCAGAGCCACTGGGATTAGGCATCGGCTGAGCAGGAGCTTTTGGGAGGGCAGTTCTGAACTTTAATGCCTTCGTTCTGCCCCAGTCCTGCTTCTGGTATTAAAGGTCTTACATTCCTTGCAGCTCGTGAATGTCACTTTAAACGTGCTTGGGGCACGCAATTACAGCTAACTGCCCTGCAAACTCCTCCTGGAATCTGGAAAGTTGAATTCTTCCATTCATATGCACCCTCACCTGCCCTGCAAAATCATTTCCTTTAGTCTAGCAAACCACTGTGTTAAAAGTGTGCATCTTAAGTCGTTCACTGCTGTTTTACCTGTGGAGAGCCAATGACAGTGAGACCTGATTTTATTTTTTTAATCATTTTTGAGGGTACCATTTAAGTGAGCACATGTAATTGAATATACACTGAGAACTGATCTGCTGAAGAGCCTACTGTTTCTAAATGCAGTAGCTACTCTTCATAATAGGCATGTTAAGCTTAAAGTGTATCTAGGTAGGGGTATTATAAGCCTTGTTTTACCAAAATGGATTTTTTTTCTTGGAAGTAAACAGGGAAAACCGGGGAGGAACTGTAGCTGAGGTCTGACAGATGTTCAAGTGCGTGAAGCTTAAAGAGGAACGTATGCTATTCAGTTTGCTCACAGAGGCTTTGTGACCTGTGTCTTCGCAGTAATGATGACACAAGCTTTTTTGAATAAAAGGAAGAAATTAACTGCCTTGGCTAATTGTACCCTTGCTAGCTAGCTAACCAAGGACACCATTTGACTGTGAAAACTGTTGGTGCACCCAAATCTCTCAGCTGGGGAGAATATCTGAAATGAGAGTGTTCCCATATCTGTGGGCTAGAAGGGCTATTTAAAAATCTTCCTAATTGGAAAATTAAACACTATTGCTTTAAAACAGTGGTGCACTGCTTTGAAAAACTAAGACCATATGGAATCATTTATTACTTTTCAATATGTATTCAGTCTCTGGTGCAATTTTATGTACCTGCTAATGCATAAAGTCTTTTGGAGCCAGAATAAAGCACCACAAAGCATGATTTAATGCTATAGGGTCACCAGATCTGTTTCAGATTACTGGATGTTTCAATCTGCTGAGAAGAAGGGGATGTGCCTGAACCAATGAAACAATGACAAGCGGCGGGGGGAGCTCATTAATCTGAAGTGCTTTGGAAATATAGTGCACATTATCAACAAAAACCTTTGAATGATTGAGTGGGGATTTGGTCATGTAAGAGATACAGTTATGAAACGAACTATACTAAGTAACAGGAAAGTTAAAACAAAGTCAGTATTAATAGTACAATACTTGGTTGCAGTTTAAAGCATCTTAATGAATCATGTTTTCAAACAGTACAGGCCCGCATGAGCATGTGACTGTAAGAGAAAATAAGAGCAAGTAAGCCGGGAATGCACAAAAGTGCTTTTGTTTATAGTTCTGTGGTCACTGGAAGTGCCTATTCTTGTGCTTATTCACAAACACCTCTGGCTCTTTCTTCCAGAAATCCTATCCAAACATTTTTGTTCTGACTTCGTTAGAAGAGGACTTTGTGCTTCGGTTCTTCTTGTATGACTTCTACGAGGTTCAGTCTCACAGTCTCTGGCAAGGGACTGAGATGACTTAGCTGCTTTTTTTTTTCCTGAGTGACAAGCCATGGGGCAATTCACTGATTCAGCAGGGACCAAGAAGTGGCCAAGGCTGACAAGTTAACCGTGCATGGTCCATGCCACCTGGTGATGAGATCTGCAGGCATGGGAGGCAATCTTTATGCCTTTATCATGAACCTGAGAGCAGTAGTTCATCTGGCTAGTTACAATTTAACAGAAAACCCATTTTTCATCTTGCTGTGGTGTTGTGCTTTCTTTTAAATGTCACCTGTAGAGTATCCCAGGGAGTGGGAGCTTCAGTTTTGCTTTGTATTTCTTACAGATACTGACAAAAAAATTTTCATATGAACATGGTCCACTAGGTTACTGAAAAAGAGACAGATTCTTTCTTAGAGGCATAAGCAAACTAAAAAGAATTTGCAGTAACTTTTATACTTCAATCAAACTATTTTGTGAGTATATATTTGTAATTTATAACCAGTAGATTAATTGAATGGTTCTTTTATTAAAGTTGAAACCTTACATTTTTAGAAGAGTTATTAAGCAAGTAAATTAATCTTCAGCTTTGCTGTAGCACTGAAGCTTGTTCATCACTGTTGTGCCTTCCATCATTCTTTAAACATTTGATAATCGATAGTGGTAATTTCAAATAAATTTACATTTTTTTTTTAAATAGAGTATGCATGCTTCTTCTGGATCGACACCTTAATGTGACCTCTCCCTCCTGCTCAAATTATAGTATTGAAATAAAATTCTTCAGGCGAAATGAAGCCAGCTGAATGAATGCATAATTAGGATTAAGACAAATACCATGAGAAGTAATTGCTGTCTGTGAATAATTTTTATCCAGACCCTATATCTTAGCCGTTGGAAAACCTTAAATAAAATCCTCTTTAAAGTCCTTAAAATTTTCTTGAGAGTGGTTGTCAGTTTAGGTATGTATTCTGACTTTAACTTGTAAGGATGACTGGTGAGACTATTACTTGCCCATAGATGGCAATAGCATTACACTGTTGAAGTAGCCCCCAGCCTATGAAATGAAGCTGTGATGGTGGTGAATATTAACTTGGGGAATGGAAAGAAAAAAAAATCTTGCCTTTTTTTTTTTTTTTTTTTTTTTGGCTGCAGCAGTGGTGATGGGGACTGTTCTATTTGCAGGAATGTTGGGACTAATCATGTGAGAAAAGATCCTGGAGTGATGAGGCAGCATATTTCCCATGTCTGAGGTCAGGATTTGTTCTGTGAAGCTGACCTTTAAAACAGCCTGGAAATGAGGAACGTGGCACCAGAGAGCAGAGCAGGAAGCATGAAATGATGTAAGATATGTTTCTTCTGCATATGAAGTACTTTTTTTTTAAAGGTCCAGGTTTGTGATTCAGCATTTTATGCCACTGACAGAATATAAGAAAGGGGACAATTTTGTCAAAAAAGAGAAATTCCTATTGTTCTACTCAAAATCTAATAGAATATTATCCATCAAGTATTTTTGTTCCCTTCTATTGAGACGGGAGGTGGGCGGTATCTTTTCCCCAAATCACTTTTCCCTCAACCTCCTGATCTGAGGGCCCTGGAATGGTAGAAAAAGTGGTATTTAGGCTCAGCCTGGATGCCTTATGTATTTAGAATGGAGTTGACCTAGAACGGGGTGAACTGTCACCAGCTTTGTTGGCGTTGGATACCTGGGTGACTGCTGTTTTGACTCTGACAAGTTACAGTAGGACAATCCTGCCGTGAGAAAGCCTTGGGGTGCTGAGTGGATGTTTGATGCAGGACATACAGCTCAGGGACCCCCAGGGCTCAAGCATCATCTTGAGGTTGCCAGCCTGGGTTTGGTCCCAGCTGCACAGTGATGCAAGACTTCAGACACAAGCTCTCCTCTCTGAGCTTATGCAAAAGTGCCTTTACTGCCTTTTCTTCCTTATTTCTTGCCTTTTCTACCAGTGTCCTTTCTCTTGTTAAGACACACGAGGCTGCACTGAGAGGTCTCATGTGCCTGCCGGAGGCTCTGCTGTGATGAAAATCTTGCCTCTCCAGTATCAGTGCAAGCACTTAGGCCAGCACTGGGCAGGAAAAGGATGCCCCAGCCTGTTGCCACCTCTCCGATCTGAAGCCCTGCTGACCTGTCAGGAAAGAGCGTTTGGAAGGAGAAAGCGAGGGAGTCGCTTCATCATTCTCCCTCTGTGGAGGCTGACTCTGTGTTAAGACAGTGTTTATCTCTCTTGGTAAAGGCGATGGCAGCGGGGAGCACTCCCAGGCGCTGGAGCTCTGCTGAGTCCACGGCAGGACTGCAAAATGGTCCCTGGCATGGCGTTGGCCCAGGCTGCTAGCCTCTTTCCCAAACAATTCCCAGGCATGAATGTAAAAAATCTGGCTGCAGCCACTCTACTTTCCTGGGTAAGAAGGTTTAACAGCCTGGACATGGCTGCTTTGTGCCCATTGGGTAGTTTATCCCTATGGATATGGTCTGGGTGTGCCTGGGATGATCTGTGCTCAGAGCAGTTCCCTGCACAGGGGCAGCCCTGCTTTCCAATGTTGAATCACGTCACAGTGAACAAGCAGGGAGACAGCCTTGTCATGCTTTCTCTTTACTTGCTGAGATGGCAGCACCAGTGAAGGTGACTGATGGTTGGTTTTTAGTTGCTCCAAATGCCAGCCAGAATGAAGCTGGCTTGCATCTGCCTAAGACTCTGAATAGATTTATTTT